TAATCTTCTTTGATTCCATCAGGACCTTCTGAATGTGCCCACTGGGCTTGGGCAACTGAGGCAGCTGGACGCTTGCCATTCTGAAGAACAGCCATTTGAACCATCAGACCACCCTCCCAGACAGCATCCAAGTGAAATCCGTACGTCCCAGGCTGCAGAAGGCACCACGTCCACCTTGGCCGCACGTCCGGGGTCGTCTGTGCCCTTGAACTCTGAGGCCTGTGGCTTTAGAAGACCCTTCTGACATTTGTATAAGAATCAAGTGCTACACTGAGCATGAGAGGGAAGACTTTCTCAGCAAAGCACGGCAATCGGCGTGAGCACATCCTGATCACGCGTACAGTTGAGTTGCTGTGTGCACAGTAAATGGGATTTATGCACGGTCAATCTGATTATCCCATAAATTAGTGTCCATTGCCATATGCAAATGCAGGTTTTTATGGGTCCTCTGATTATGTGCACATTTTCCCCGGCACATCTGTTGCTGAACCATTTTAAAATTCAACCTTTATAGGCAAGTTGATTTTTTTTTTTAATGTCACACAAAGGATTCTATAATGAAGGGTGAGGTTATGTAAGCTGAGTTAACTCTCTTTACTAGTCACATTCATAACACTATTAGAGTTGCAATTGTGCAATCTGGGCCTCTGTTGCTTTGTGATGGGAGAATGTTTATGATCTTTATTAATGAAGTAACTAAGAAGTGTGTTTTCTTTCAGTTAAAGTGTCATGATTTAGAGTTTGTCTTTGGGAGTCTCTAGAGCATATCACTGGGATGGCAGTTCTTCCTTAGAGACAGACTGGTTTCACGTTCGTTAGCTCAGCAGATGTGGATGCGCAATGCAAGGCCCATTGCCGGGCACACAGCGGTGTTCGTAAAGCTGAATAAGGCCTGGTGTCCCTCGGTGGCGCAAACGGTTAAGCGCTTGGCTACTACCTAAAAGGATGGAAGTTCGAATCCGCCCAGAGGCACCTCGGAAGAAAGGCTTGGCGATCTACTCCCGAAAAATCTCATGGAGTACAGTTCTACTCTGACACACACGGGGTCACCACGTGCCAGTGTGGACTGTAAGGCAACTGGTGATTTGTTTTTTTGTTTGTTTGTTTTTGGTCTCTTTGAGAAACCTGCCATCTAGTAAAGGAGCTAAGACTTTGGCTAAAGAACTAGAGCAAAAGGCGGGATGGGGCGGAGCCACTGGGTGCAAAGAGCAACAACAAACACTCCCACGTACTCACTGTGCACCAGGCCCTGTTCTAAGCCCCTACCTGTATTAACCTATCCTCCCCCTGCCCTAGAGGAATCCATGGGAAGGTGAATTACTTTCAACTTTGGAGAAGAAAGAGGTTCCCTAAAGAAGGGCAGAGCTACGCGGGGCTTGTTTGTCAGTGGGTGGTCGGGGCCCTTCTTGAGGAACCCTCTTCGGAGGATGGAGAGCCTGTGGGGGGTTATATCCAGGGGGTGTCTTGACTAGAGTTGCATGTGTTTTATTGACTATGCGAAGGCATTCGACTGTGTGGGTCATAACAAATTATGGATAGCATTGTGAAGAATGGGAATTCCAGAACACCTGATTGTGCTCTTGAGGAACCTGTACGTAGATCAAGAGGCCGTTGTTCGGACAGAACAAGGGGATACTGTGTGGTTTCAAGTCAGGAAAAGCGTGCGTCAGGGTTGTATCCTTTCACCATACCTATTCAATCTGTATGCTGAGAAAATAATCCTAGAAGCTGGAGTATATGAAGAACAGTGCATCACGATTGGAGGAAGACTTATTAACAACCTGTGTTATGCAGATGGCACAACCTTGCTTGCTGGAAGTGAAGAGGGCTTGAAACACTTTCTGATGAAGATCAAAGACCACAGCCTTCAGTATGGATTACACCTCAACATAAAGAAAACAAAAATCCTCACAACTGGACCAATAAGAAACATCATGATAAATGGAGAAAATATTGAAGTTGTCAGGGATTTCATTTTACCTGGATCCACAGTCAACACCCACGGAAGCAGCAGTCAAGAAATCAAAAGACGCATTGCATTGGGCAAGTCTGCTGCAAAAGACCTCTTTAAAGTGTTGAAAAGCAAAGATGTCACTTTGAAGACTAAGGTGCGCCTGACCCAAGCCATGGTGTTTTCTCTCACCTCCTATGCATGCGAAAGCTGGACAATGAGTAAGGAAGAACAAAGAAGAAGAATTGACGCCTTTGGATTGTGGTGTTGGTGAAGAATATTGAATATACCATGGACTGCCAAAAGAATGAACACATCTGTCTTGGAAGAAGTACAACCAGTTTGCTCCTTAGAAGCAAGAATGGCGAGTCTACGTCTCACATACTTTGGACATGTTGTCAGGAGGGATCAGTCCCTGGAGAAGGACATCCTGCTTGGTAAAGTGGAGGGTCAGCAAGAAAGAGGAAGACCCTCAACGAGATAGGTTGACACAGTGGCTGCAACAGTGGGCCTAGGCATAACAACAATCGTGAGGATGGTGCAGGACGGGACAGTGTTTCGTTCTGTGGTGCACAGAGTTGCAGCCGACCCAATGGCACCTAACAACAACAATAACAGACACCTGGAAAGGTCTTAGGAGCCCTGGTGGCGCAGTGGTTAAGAACTCAGCTGCTAACCAAAACGTCGGCGGTCCGATCCACCCGCTGCTCCTTGGAAACCCTATGTGACACTTCTACTCTATCCCGTAGGGTCGGTATGAATCAGAATCAACTCCACGGCAACGGGTTTGATGTTTTTGGTTTGGAAAGGTCTTAAGGGGTTTGGTAAGTACAGTAGCCGCACCAGCAGCACAGGGCGCTGTGCTGAGACTTGCCGTCCACGAATGCCATTGGTCCTCATCACGGGCTTAAGAGATGAGGACCCTGAGCCCGCCAATGGGCAGTACCTTACCAGGCTCTCTGCACCAGCAAGCTGATGTTTTCCAGAGTTCACTGTGCGATACTGCCTCTCAATACAGGGGAAGGCATCGCCAGAGAGGAATGCCCTTACCTTTTGTGATGGAGCCCATGTTAAAAGTCCCTGGGTGGTGCAAACAGTTAACACGCTTGGCTGCTAACTGAAAGGCTCGCAGTTTAAGTCCACCCAGAGGTGCCTTGGAAGAAAGGCCTGGCAATCTACTTCCAAAAAATCAGCCATTGAAAACCCTATGGAGCACAATTCCACTCTGACACACATGGGTTCTCCATGAGTCAGAGTCAACTACACAGCAACTGGTTTGGAGCCCCTGGGGATGAAAATGGGTCATGTGCTCAGCTGCTAACCAAAAGGCTGGTGGTTCTAGTCCACCCAGAGGCACTGGGAAGAAAGGCCTGGCAGTCTATTTCCAAAAAACCAGCCACTGGAAACCGTATGGAGCAGAGTTCTGCTTTGACACACATAGGGTCGCGGTGAGTTGGGGTTGACTCTATGGCACCTGTTTTTTTTTTTTCCATGTAAAAAACAGGCCTAGATGCTGGACCAGGCAGGAGGATGCCAGATGCCTGCTGAAGAAAGCCAGCAGGGTGGCCCAGAAGGAAAAGGAGCCGTGGGGGTGGGGATGGAGAGGCCTCTGGGCTCCCATAGGCTCCTGGGGGAGAGGCCCCTGTGCCCTGGGGAGGACGAATGGCGGCAGAACACCCGGAATCCTCTGCAGATCTTAGCACAAGTGCATGGAGCCTTTGCCCAAACTTCCCACCCCTCCTTCTCCTCCCTGACACCCCACCCCTTGAAGAGAATATGCTCTCTTCGCTGCTATTCCCTTGAAATGGTGGCAGAGGGCTCAGTTTCCAGTCTACCGTGGGGATCTGAGCACCCCTAAGCGTCTCGCCGGCCAAGGATCAGAGGAGAGCTTGTGTCTCAACAGAAACCCGTTAGCTGTTTGCGGCAGGCAGACGAATCCCCAAACAACATCAGAGCAGAACTGCATTTGCAAAATTGTTTAAATATAGTCTCGTTTTCTGGTAGCTCTGGGTTCATCTGGGGAAAAATCCCATCTGCAAATGCCATTTTTATCGATTCGATCAGGACCAAGATCTGCTGTAAAAATACATACTTTTTTTTTTTTCTTTAAAGAAAATTGGCAATTTGCCTTAAGAATTTTACTGAAGTCATTCTATTCTAGTTGAACAATGTTGGAAGATAAAGACCCTCCATTATGCCTTTTTTAATGAATTATAATTCAGACAAATCTCAATAATAGAAAATGGCATAAAAGGCGCCGAGCAGAATTCTTATCTTATTTTCCTTACTAGCTTCTCGTTCAGTGTATGTAATTGGCATCTCTTCAAAGAGAAAATGGGGGATTTTACCGTCCTTGAATCCAGTGGCATTCATTTGTTCGAGTGTTAAGGCTGCATTTGCTTTGGGAAGGATTTTCTTCTAACGCTTAGCATAGTTCTTTGTACATGGAGGTGCCCAGTGAAAACCACAGAATGAATGGATGATTGATTATTATTTTCTGCAGTCACAACTGTGTCTCCACTGCAGAGCCAGGTGAATGAATCCTGTTGCTCTTTCTTGGGGTGGGAGGGCATACAAGGTGATCATTCTGTTGATTAGAGCGGTGTTTTTCCAACTTGAAAGTGCCTGTGAGTCACCTCGGTGCAGGTCTGGTTAAAATGCAGCTTCTGACCAGGTCTGGGGTCAGGCCTGAGACTCTGCATTCCAGACTCTCCCAGGTGAGGCCATTGTTGCTGGCCCACAGAGCACACTTGGAGTGGGGATGGGCTAGAGTGAGCTCTTCACAAGTCCTGCAAACCAAAAAGAAAAAAAAAAAAACCCACTGCCGTAGAGTTGATTCCGACTCATAGCGACCCTACAGGTCAGAGTAGAGCTGCCCCACAGGGTTTCCAAGGAGCAGCTGATGGATTCAAACTGCCGACCTTTTGGTTAGCAGCCAAGCTCTTAACCACTGCGCCACCAGGGCTCCGGGTCTTGCAGAAAGTGTCAAAACCCCCAGCACCAATGCCCCCCTGCTGGCCACTGACGGGAGCCCTTTTTGTTTTTAAAGGTACGACACCGAGGGAAGAGGGCACATCACTTACCAAGAATTTTTACAGAGATTGGGTATTGACTATTCGCCTGCTGTTCACCGGCCCTACGCAGAGGATTATTTCCATTTCATGGGTCATTTCACTAAGCCACAGCAGGTGCAAGAAGAGCTCAGAGAGCTGCAGCAGAACGCAGAGAAGGCCACCAGGTGAGCTTGTGATTATTATTGTTAGTCAATGTTGAGTTAATGCTGGCTCATGGTGACCCCAGGCAACCCCAGGTACGACAGAACACAACACTGCGCGGTCCTGCACGTCCTCATGATCGTTGGTACGCTCGACTCCATTGTTGTGACCTCTGTGTGTCTTGAGTGCCTTCCAGCCTACGGGGGCTCATCTTCCAGCAGTATATCAAACAATGTTCTGTTGTGAGCCGTAGGGTTTCTCACTGACTTCTTTTCAGAAATAGATTGCCAGGCCTTTCTTCCTTAGTCTGGAAGCTCCATTGAATCCTGTCCACCATGGGTGGCCCTGATGGTATTTGAAATACTGGTGGCACAGCTTCCAGCATCACAGCAACACATAAGCTACCGCGGTATGACAAATTGACAGACCGTAGTGGACCATAATCTGGGCATTCTGTTCTACAGCACAAGTTGTTTTAAAATGGTGCCTCCCGGCGCTGGCTAAGTTATCGTGAATCTGTCACACTCGTTTACTGCTGTAGAGTCTACAGGTTTGCACTAACCCACAAGAGGTGTAAAGTAGTTAAAAAGCCAGCCACACTCGCTCATATCCTCATTCTCACGTTTTCTGTTTTTCTTTGGTTACTGCATGTCGTATGACCCCTCCCCTGCCCCAACTAGAATGCAAGCTCCATGCGACAGGTCTGTCTCCTCTACCACGGAGTCCCCAGGCCCAGGGCAGTGCCTGGTGCCTAATAAACCAAACCAAACCGCTTGCTGTCAAGTGGATTCGGACTCGTAGTGACGCTATAGGACAGAGTAGAACTGCCCCCATAGGGTTTCCAAGGCTATAAATCGTTACAGAAGCAGACTGCCACATCTTTGTCCTGCGGAAGGCTAGTGGGTTCAAACCACTAACCTTTCAGTTAGCAGCACTGAGTAAATACTTGCTGAATGAGTGAATGAGTGAACAGACATGAGCTTTAACTGAGTACTTCTGCTTTGGGGACTTCAAGGAACAGTTTCAGAAGAGACCAGAGCTCCGCAGTTGGAAGGTATGATTTTCAGTGTGTCTTGAACGACAACAACAAGAGGATCAGCTTCTGTCATGGATTGAATTCTGTCCCCCCAAAACGTGTGTCCGTTTGGCTGGGCCATGACTCCTGGTATTGTACTGTGAGGAAGTAAACTTCTCTTTGTTAAAACCATCCACTTGTGGTATTTCTGTTATAGCAGCACTAAGTAACTAAGACACCTTCTAATCCCCAAATGGTGCACTGGTTTATAAAAACGTGATCCAAAAGAATATGGGATATTCTGTACCTATTACCATTATCACCCTGACGGCTGTGGAAAAACATGGACAGCGTCTGTGATCAAAGGTTGACTGGAAAAGAAGGTCTGCCTGGTCCGTATTCCACACCTGGAACTAGGTCCAGTGCACATACGGGAGCCCAAGGACCAGAAGATGCTATGCAGAAGGTAATGGCTTGTCTTTGGAAGGTGGACTGTATGAGATTATTTTCAGAGTTGGAAATAGTTATTAATGTCATAGTTTTTAAAAAATTTACAGCATGGAAGAAAATGTACTGCATATGACATGACCACAAAGCAGCGGGACAGATTTTCTTGGGCGCCGAAGAGCCATCAGGCTCCGTCCTTAGTGTTGCGCATCAACACTCCCTACACCTGTAGCACCGCTCCCATCGCCTGAGAGCCCTGGCCTAGCTCCACGTTGCAGACACCTGTCCACGTGCCTGCCTCCTGTCTGCAGGTCCAGCTGTCTGTCCCCACCACCTCGCGGGGCACCTGGATGAATGATGCGTGGATGGATGATACCTGGATGAATGAATGAATGAATGGGTTGTTGCTCAAGAATCCCCAAAGGACATGAGAACTCCGAGGACACAGCGATGGAACTTAGCAGCTAAGTGGGGTTTAAGAGAAAGCAGCTCAAGCACACTCCCTGAATTATGTCTGGAACCACCGCATCACAAAGCGTGAAGGCAGAGGATCGAGTTTGTGAAGCTGAAAGTAAAAATATACGCGAGCCTGTCTAAATCAAACGTGCCGTGAACCTAGTGAGAAAGTGGGATTTATCTTCACCAGACGGGGTTGGCCTCATTACCCACTCGTCTCGTCCCCAGGCTCTCTCCTGCCACTTCTGAGTAGTGGGGCTCTCGGAGAGACACCGCACAGCCTGGGCTGCCTCACGGCCCCTTCCCCTCCTCCTCTGTTTCCGTCTGTTGTGTGAGCGTGGGTCCGTGGCTGGAAGAACAGTGTGCGTCTCAGATCACCAGGCTCAGGTAGCTAATCCGCACTCCCCCGATCCTCTCGGCCACGTTCCGCTCGCAGACTGCAGAAGACCAGCCTGAGGGTATGAAGATGCAGTGCCCACTGCTGTTGTCTCAAAGACGTCTGCTGGTGAAATTGTCGAGTCGCTTTGCCTGCAGGATGTCCATTTTAAAATTACGGGTGTCAGTGGGTCTTCCAGATAAGACACGCTTCCACGGTTTTTTACCTCCTCATTCATGCCAAGACTCAGAGAAGACTGGCAGGTTAAAGTGACTGCCATTTTCTATTTGCCTCTGAATTCGAAGGGAATCTATTTTGTTTGGCATGCCCTAAATACATTTTAAGGAGCCCTGCTGGCACAATTGGTTAAGCGCTCCGCTGCTAACCGAAAGGTGGATGGTTCAAACCCATCCGGTGGCTCTACGGGAGAAAAGACCTGGCAGTATGCTCCCATAAAGATTACAGCCTGGGAAACCCTATGGGGCAGTTCTACTCTGTCACGTGGGGTCACTAGGAGTCAAAATCAACTCGACAGCACCCAGTGACAACAACAACAAATACATTTTAGGTCCCTGGTGATGTAAACGGTTTGAACTTGACTGCTAACCCAAAGGTTGGTGGTTCCAACACACTGAGCAGTACCTCGGAAGAAAGGCCTGGCAGTCTGCTTCTGTAAAGATCATAGCCAAGAAAACCCTACGGAGCAGTTCTGCTCTGACGCACATGGGTCACCATGTGTCAGAATCGATTTGACAGCAACAGGTTTTGATTTGTTTGTTTTTTGGTTTAAATACATTTGAAAAATTAAGAAGGATTCTTTTTGAAAATATCTGTTTTTCATGCCTTACTCCTTTTTGACCGAGCCTGAGTTGAAGACTCAGAATTAGAACGACAGTTGTGAACTGGCCACACAAGCAAGGTCCGGGCTACAACGCAAATTGAGAGTTGCACAGGTGAAACCAGCAACTCTCTGAGGCTTTTCAGCAGTGCCGAGGCCGGGAGGCCCAGTCCGCCGTCCAGACCGGGAACCGGCCACGGACCAAGAGCAGCAGCAGCCTGGTCTCCGCGCCTCGGGTAGCAATGCCTCTGTCTGGCAGTGCGGCGGGATCCGTGCTCCAAACCCTCACTTACTCCATGCACATGTTTACTCTGCACACAAACTAATTACTGCCGAGAAACCCGTCCAAGAAGTGCTGAATGCCTTGATTTTCTAAAAATATGGATCTCGAAAACGTTTTGATTTTTTCTACATCTTCATTTGCTTTCATTTGGAAGAATTAAGTGGAATTTAATAGCTGTGAAGACGAGTCATCATTTTGTAACATGGGACTGAATTGAAGGTACACCTGTAAGGGAATCCAGAACGTGGCTGCGGATGGTGTTGGTGCGTGGGACAGTTAATGCGGCTCGTTAGTATTAAATGCCAAATGCCCATAAGCCAATTCCGAATTGGTGGCCGGAAGAAAAGGGAGAGGCACCCTCGTGGCGCAGTGGTTAAGTGCTCGACTGCTAAGTGAAAGGTCTGCGGTTCAAACCCACCAGCTGCTCCTCAGGAGAAAGATGTGGCCGTCTGCTTCCATAAAGATTACAGCCTGGGAAACCCTCTGGGGCAGTTCTACTCTGTCCTATAGGGTCGTTATGAGTTAGAGTCGACTCAACAGCACTGGGTTTTTAAGAAAAGGGAGTAGATCATCCATGGAGCTTCCCAGTGAATGCCACCCACCCCCCTCACCCCATGTTCCTACTCAGTTCTACCTCTTCTGAATTTCTGCATTTTCTGTTCCTATGGATTATTTTTACCTGAAAGACCAAGACACTATCCTCTCCCACAATTAGATGATTACCTCTAAAGAATTCATAGCGTGTTCTTTTCCCTGAGTAATTACTTCAAAGCCAAGTCCACGTCTGAGCCCATTGGACCAGCGTGTTACTCACTGCTCGTTAGGAAAGCATGTTTAGAGACTGGGGCAAGACGAATTTAGGAAGTTTCTATCCTTCTGCTGTGGCTCAAGTGCAAGATTGTTTATTCTTAAAATTTTTTCCACCACTTTTACCCTTTTTACTTTTTTCAAAGTCAGGGAAGAATATTCCAGACTGAAAAACTGTATCATAGAGACTTGAATGAGTTGTGCAGGAAAATCAGCTCACAGCCAGGAACCACAGCTGGAGCCTCCCAGGCTGTCTCCCTCCTGTGAGGGAGAGAGTCATGGCCCGACTCTGCCTTGTTGCTGTCTATAAAATGGGAATGGGAATACCCCCTGGCAGGGTTGGTGAGGAGCTCGAATGCGAGAATGAATGTCGTGAAGAGGACAACACAACGCTTGGTTTATCAGTGAGTGCGCACAAAATGGCGGCCGTGCTTCCTAGTAACAAAGTTGTTGTTAGTTACCGCTGAGTTGGCTCCCACTCATGGTGAACTTGTGTATGACAGAATGAAGCATTTCCCATCCTGCACCGTCCTCGGGATCATCGGTGTGCCTGAATCCATTGCTTTGGCTATTGTGTCAATCCATCTTATTGAGGGGTTTCTTCATTTTCACTGACCCTCTACTTTACCAAACACGATGACCTTTTGTATTGATTGGTCTTTCTTGATGATGGGTCTCAGGTAAACCAGCTCAAGTTTCACCATCCTCACATCCTCCGAGGATTCTGGTTGCATTTATTCGAAGACAGTTTTGTTCATTCATTTGGTAGTCTACGTATATTCAATATTCTTCACCAACACCACAATTTGATAGCATCAGTTCTTCCTCTGTCTTCCTAATAATAAAAGTAGCTGGGGAAAAATCAACCTGATAAAAGCAAGAGGTCCTGGAGCTCCACAGCTAGCACGGGCAGGACCTGTGCCTTTCCGCCTCCTCACTTACTGTGCCCCTGCTCTCCCGCCTCAGGGCCTGGGTGCTGGCTGTCCCTGGGCCACCAGAAAGCTCCTCCCCTGGATATCTGCCTGGCTCACCCCTTCATCTCCCAGTCTCGGCTCCAGTGTCACCTTCCCAGTGCAGCCTACCTGGTCTTCCTACTTAGAACTGCAGTCACCTCCTCTTGGGCATTCCCAACCCCCTGACTCTTCTCATTATCTACTAACCTCCTGTGGGAGCAGAGGTCCAGTGGTAGAATTCTCACCTTCCATGGGGAAGACCTGGCTTCTTCGATTCCCTGCCATTACACCTCATGTGCAGCCACCACCCATCTGTCGGTGGTGCCTTGAGTGTTGCTATGATGCTAAACAAGTTTTAGCAGAACTCTCAGACTAAGACAGACTAGGAAGAAAGGCCTGGCAAGCTACTTCTGAAAACCAGCCCATGAAAACCCTATGGATCACAATGGTCCAATCTGCAACCGATCATGAAGATGGCCCATGAGGTGGGGGCCAACTTAATGGCAGCTAACAAACAACACCCTACTGTACAATGTACATAATCTTCTATTTATGATTTGTCTTGCCCCCACTGGACTGTCAAGTCTTCTAGAGCTGGAGCTTGTGCCTGTGTGAGCCACCATTGTGTCCCAGCACCTAGAGCAGTACCTGGCACACGACAGGTTCTCAGCAAGGACTAACCGAGTGAGTGAAGGTGGTTTTCACATGTCTGTAATATCCCTTCATTTTACATTCACAGTTCCATTGTTAAAGCACCGATTCTAGTAACAAAGCAAAGCTGTCGTTTCTCTAATGTGCTTTTGCTAATGACGATAATAATAAAGTGATAATGACGCAGAATTACCCTTTTTTCCGGGATACCTTTTAACGTAAATGCTACACAGAGGCTGCAGAATGTCTTCGAAATTAGTTCTTAGGTGAACCGTCACATCTTCGCATTAGAATGATCGTGAAGCACTCGCTCTAAAGAAATTGTCTTGTTTTCCTGATTTTAGCGTGTGTCTGAAATGCACTTTCTTTCAGGGACAAGCTGAAGGATCATTTTCAAGAGATCAGCAAGGCACTCACCAAACTAGACAAATCCCAAAATGGCTACATACCCCTGAGTAAGCTGCAGAAGGTGCTACAAGAATGTGGCTGTTCTCTTAAAGAAGTGGAGCTGACGGAGCATCTCAGCAGGTTCTTTTAACTGCGTTAAATGTTTCTCGGGCATCCCTGGGTGGTGCAAATGGTTAAGCGTTCCACTTCTAACCAAAAGGTTGGCGGTTCGAACCCACCCAAAGGCACCTCCGAAGTAAGGCCTAGCAATCTGCTCTCAAAAGGTCACAGCCTTGCAAACCCTGTGGAACAGTTCTTCCCTGCACGCATGGGGTCGCCAGGAGTCGGGATAGACTCAGTGGTAACTAACAACAACAAACGTGTTTCCCTCACAATACTGAAAAAAAAATGTATCGGCAGGGTGCTTTGGTTTCTTACTATATGCCCCCTTGAACAGCCTTTTGACATTGAAATAACCGCCACATATTCCGTTTTGACGGGCTACATGATGATGGGTTTGAGTCGACCAAAAGCCAAAAGAGAAAGCAACTTGACAGATGCCCAGCTTTTCCGATGTGTCTAAGCAGCAGAAGTGTTTTTCGAATCTAGTTTCTCTTTGACCCACGTTATTCATGCACTTTGCTAGGAGCCAGGCGGTTTCTACAGACTTACAATTAGAAACTGTAGCCCCTACCCTGTTACTGCCCTCGCTGCTTGCCCCCCTGCCCCCCAGTCAACAGCTTCCGACTCTTCTAACTGGTGTCTTTTGGTATGGAGCTCCCTATTTCTAAGTGACAAGCTTACGTTGCTGCTTCTCGATGTTTAACGTGGAGGCAGTATCTGTGAGTTCCTGCTAGGAAGACGTCGATTTAGCTCTTTTTCACCCATCAGATACCACCCACACCCACCCCCTCAGCCTCCACCAGCCATGGAAACAGATGCAAACTTGTCTCCATGTGCTCCCGGGATCATTGCATCTTGTGTGTGTGTGTGTGTGTGTGTGTGTGTATGAAAATATACACAACAAAGCATACACCACTTCAGTAATTTCTACAGGTACAGCTCAGTGACATTGGTTACATTCTTCAAGTGGTGCCTGCCACCTTTCTCAACAACCTTTACTAAACGATTTCACCATCGTTAACACAGACTTGCCGCCCCCCTAAGCTTCTCATCTCCACTTTTGAGTTGCTGCTGTCGATTTGATCATGTATAGATAATTCTTCAAAAGAGTATAATGCTTAATGCAGACATTCTTTTCTAATTAGGATAAACTATTATTTGGTTCAAAGATGACGTCAGGGATGGTTTCAGTTCAAGGTTTAAAGATTTCTTCAGGGTGATAATTTCAGGGGTCATCCTGCCTCAATGGCTCCGGAAAGTCTGTGGATTCTATGAGAATTTTAAATTCTGTTCCACATTTTCCCCCGTTTGATCAGAATTCTGCTGTAGAATCCTTGATCTAAACGTTGAGTATTGGTAGCCAGGCACCATCTTGTTCTTCTGGTCTCATGGGATCATTGCATCTTAATTTTGGTTCAGAGTTTACATTATTGTGACTAGCTGACTACTTTTCCTTTCCTGTGTAGCATTTTGTTCTCCCTGGAGTTCATATTTACTTTTTCTGTTCACTTAGTTTACTATGCATTTATCACCACTAGTTAAACCCCAGAGTTCCCCCTAGTAAAATCTCTTGCCAGTGTGTTCATAAGCACGAGCTTTTCTGTTGGCTTCATCTTCTCGAAGATGGCCCTTTTCATGGTCTTCAATTCTCTGAAATTTTCTTGATTTATTCCATTAATGACTTTCTCTCCTGTTCACCTATTGTTATTGAATATTCACTTATTGTTATCGAATATTGAGTGGCCTGGACTATTTCTCTATAAATTTTTAATCTTTCTCTCCTTTTCTCCATCTCTTTTCCTTTTGCTCTGCCGTGTGAGAGATTTCCTCAATGTTATCTCCCAGCCCTTCTTTTGAGGTTTTTGTGTCCATTGTCATATTTATCATACTTTTAATTACTAAGAGCTCATATTAGTTCTCTGACTGTTCCTTTTTTATAGCATCCTGTTTTTTGTTTCACAGATACACTATCTTGTTCCTCCAAAGATACCAATGATAGTTTTCTTCACCTGAGAAGTCTCTCCTCAATGTTGCTTTTTTCTACTATCTTTTATATTAGATGCTTTCCTCAAAAATATGTGTATATTAAGAATGGGGTGCTAAGAAGCAGCGGAGAAGCTCTGCATAGATAAGTGCAGTTTGTTGACTCGGTCTGAGATGTTCGGTCACCTGGCAGACAGTTTCCTTGGGAAACCCGCAATGTCAGGGATCTTTAAAACTTTTCTCTTGGGCTAGTCAGGTTTCCAGAGAATAGAGTTGCCATAGAAAATAAAGGATGCCCACTTAAATTTGAATTTCAGATAAACAATGCATATTTTTAGAGTAAGTATGTCCCAAATATTGCCTGGAACATACTTATATACTAAAAAAATTGTTGTTGTTATTAGGTGCCGTAGAGTTGATCCTGACTCATAGTGACCCTATGTACAACAGAAGGAAACAAATTTGAGTTTAACTGGGTGTCCCTGTAGATTTTTTGCTAAATATGTCAACCCTACCCGGGAACATTCTTGTTTTCTGCTGCCAGCACTCTGTGAGCTTACTGGGAGAAGAAGGCTGGAAATTTCAACAGTCCATGTGGTAGGGCAGGCTGAATAATAGTCCCCAAAGATATCCAGGTCCTAATCTCTGGAACTTGTGAATGGTACCTTATATAGAAAAAGGGTCTTTGCAGATGTGATTAAGTTAAGGATATTGTTGTTGCTATTAGGTGCCGTCGAGGTGGCTCCTACTCATAGCAACCTTATGTATAACAGAACAAAACGTTGCCCAGTCCTGCACCATCCTCACAATCATTGTTGTGTTTGAGCCATTGTTGTAGCCACAGTGTCAATCCATCTCATTGAGAGTCTCCCTCTTTTTCACTAACCCTCTCCTTTACCAAGCATAAAGTCCTTCTCCAGCGATTGGTTCCTCCTGATGACATGTCCAAAGTAAGCGAGACAAAGTCTCGCCATCCTTGATTGTAAGGAGCATTTTGGCTGTACTTCCTCTGAGACAGATTTATTGAGATGGAGATCATCCTGGATTATCCAAGTGAGCCATAAATGTAATCACAGGGATCCTTATAAGAGGGAGGCAGATGAAGATTTCATCCAGAAGAAGAGAAGGCACTATAACCACAGAGGTAGCTATTGGAGTGATGTGGCCACAAGCTAAGTAACACCTACAGCTACCAGAAGCTAGAAGAGGCAAAGAACAAAATCTCTCCTAGAGCCTCTGGAGGGAGCATGTCCCTCCCAACGCCTCGACTGTGGCTCCGTGAATCTGATTTCATACTCCTGGTATCGAGCACTGTAAGAGAGTGAATGGGTGTTGTTTGAAGCCACCATGTTTGTGGTATTTACAGCAGCTATAGGAAATTACTAGAGTCAGTATATGAATTTACGCTTAATCCCCCTCTTTTCATTAAGAAAACCTACCTTGAACGAGGACAGATGCCTCCAGTTCAGAAGCTCTCTTTTACCCTTGCCAGAGAATATGCTTCCAGGTCTTCTGTTGGGGTGGGAAGGGGCAGCATCCAGCCACATGGAGTTTGGGGAGGGTTCTAATTACTTCCCACACAGATTTTTAACCAGCCCTTCTGGTTTAACCTCACCCTCGTCCCCGCTTCCAGATGTACCTGGTGCCACTAATGCCGGCGCCTTTGAGGGTGCGTGCAGGGTATGTCAGGTTACTTTTCTGCATTCCTTCTGATGGTTTCAGGAGGTGATCTCTTGGATCTGATACATCCATTATCATTCACCCTTCAAATTTCCAGCAGCTATTGTCTTCTTTCACTTCCTTAGTTCCTTGTGATCTATGCCTATGGTCCTCAAATCCCAGAAAGCATCAGAATCACTGGGTTTGCTGAGCTTTAACCCCAGAGTTTCTAAGTCAGTGGGCCTGGGATGGGGCCTGAGAATGTACATTTCTAACAAGGTTCCAGGTGATGGCTGATGCTGATACTGCTGGGCACCCTACTTTGAGAACCACTGTTTTATGCCTTTTGAAAACTTTCTTTAAAACTTCCTTTTCTGCGAAAGAAGGAAACCCAAGACCAGAGAAGGAACTGGATACAGGACTAATTGTCTCCGTGAACCACTGCCTCCTCCATCTTGAGACCAGAAGAACTAGATGGTGCCTGGCTACCACTACCGAACGTTCTGATCAGAGACACAATAGATGGATTCTGATAGAAAGTGGAAAATATGTGGACCAGAACTTCAAATTCTTAAAGAATCTAGACGTACTGGAGCTATTGAGGCTGGAGGATCCCTGAGACTATGGCCCCGAGTTACTCTTCAAACCCTGAATTGAAACTATCCCCTGAAGTCACCTTTAAACTAAGTAACAGTTTAGCTCAAAAAGTAAAGATTGTCACCCCTGAGTATTGCATTCTTTAAAAAAAAGAAAAAAAATCTATATAAGACCAAATGGTCAATAGCTATGTTAAAGCAAAGATGAGAAGGGAGCAGAGAGTTTACGTTGATGGGAGTGGGAACACTAGAACAGAAAGAAGGAGACTGTTGACATAAGGTGAAGAATGTAACCAGTGTCATGGATGATCATGTGTAGAAACTGTAGAATGGGAGCTGGGTTTTGCTGTATACATTTCCACTAAAAATAAAATATTAATTTTTTAAAAAGTCCCCTTTCTGTCTTTTAGAAGGGATTTGAGTGGGAACAGAGCTATATATGTTTTCAAATTATTTAACTGGAAGTCTTGCCCTCGTGGACATTTGAACTGAAATCACTTAGAGTTCATTGCTCTCTTTTCTGAGCCCCGTTGTATGCAGTTTCCACCTTGAAGTGTACTTTAGCTGTGCTGGTTAAATATTCTTGGAGTGGCGCAGTGGTTAAGAGGTATGGCTGCTAACCAAAAAGGTCGGCAGTTAGAATCCACCAGCCGCTCCTTGGAAACCCTATGGGGCAGCTCTACTCTGTCCTATAGAGTCGCTATGAGTCAGAATTGACTCAACGGCAGTGGGTTTGGTTAAATATTCTGGGACTGAGTGGATAAATCTTTGTCCCTCATT